TGTTCCGAGCAACCTCAATGCCCAAAAAATACTTCAGGACTCCCAAATCTTTCATATGAAAACAATGACTCAGGTACTCTTTAAAAGCAGCAATAGCAGCAGGATCGCTCCCAGAAATGATGAGATCATCAACATAAACCAAGACATGTAAATGCACAGAATCACGATGTAAAGTAAACAGAGAGTAATCAGAATAAGACTGTGCAAAACCATATTGCTTAAGAGCAGCAGCAAGCTTGGCGAACCAACAACGAAGAGCTTGCTTCAAACCATACAAAGAACGGCGCAATCGACAGACCTCACCACGCCGAGGAGAATGAAAACCAGGAGGAAGTTTCATATACACTTCCTCAGTCAAGTCGCCGTGTAAAAAGGCATTATGAACATCCATCTGATGGACCTCCCAGTGTCGAGCCGAGGATACAGTCAAAAGAAGACGAACTGTGACCATCTTTGCCACGGGGGCAAAAGTCTCCTGATAGTCAATTCCTTCAACCTGTCTATTTCCCAAAACAACCAAGCGCGCTTTATAGCGCTCAATAGATCCATCAGAATGATACTTAATTTATAAATCCACTTACATCCAATGGCATGCTTTCCAAGAGGAAGGGGTACTACATCCCAGGTATGATTATTCTCTAGAGCTTGAATTTCATGTTGCATGGCCGAGCGCCAATGATTATCACGAACCGCCTCAGCGAACGACTGAGGTTCAACAGTGGAAGTCACAGCTGCTAAGAAAGACTTATGACTGGGCGAAAATGAATCACAAGAAATATAATGTGCAAATATAGGATAAGGAGTACCTGAGGATGGCGATGAGTCGGGGAAGACAGTCGAGGGGGACGAGGGAGAGACTGTATGAGATACAAAATCAGTGAGGCGAGAAGAGGGGCGCTTAGCCCGACGACCTCGGCCTAGTAATTCCTCTTGGGGAGGCGCTAGTAATTCCTCCTGGGGAGGGGCAGGAGACCCACCCCCCTATCATCAATGCTGCTAGGCGTCCCAAATTTAGTAGGACCAGTGTGTGGCACAGTATCTTCGACATCATCACACGGTGCGGGCCAAAAATTAGTGGAAACCGGTGAAGTAGTAGGTGCAGAAGGGATCATGTAAGGAAATTCTGATTCACAAAATTCAACATCACGAGAGACAAAGAAAATACCACTATCCAAATTATACACACACCACCCTTTTTGTCCAGCAGGATAACCCACAAATACGCATTTACGACTTCTACTTGCAAATTTATCACCATGTGTGCCTGGATTATGCGCATAGCAGAGACATCCAAAAACCCGTAAATGTGTAAACACATGAGACTTTCCATACAACATCTCATAAGGAGATTTCCCGGACAAAACTGAAGTAGGCGTGCGATTAATCAAATACCCAGCTGCAAGAACACAATGACCCCAAAATTCAAGAGGCAAATGAGCTTGAAAACGTAAGGCACGTGCAACATTGAGAATGTGCTGGTGTTTATGCTCCACACGCCCATTCTGTTGAGCGGTGCCAACACAAGAAGTTTCATGGATAATTCCTTCTCGACGAAAATAATCCCGCATACAAGTAAATTCAGTTCCATTATCACTGCGAAGAATTTTAACCAAAGCACCAAATTGTCGTTTGATCAAAGCAAAGAAATGCACTAAAGTAGAAGAGACAGCACTTTTATCATCCAACAAATAAATCCAAGTAGCACGAGAGTAATCATCCACAATGGTCAGAAAATATCGTGCCCCACTAAAGGCGGGAACACGGTAGGGTCCCCATAAGTCACAATGAATTAACGTAAATTTGGCAAGAGCAACACTACTACTAACATGAAAACTAGTACGCGAGTGCTTAGCTTTGTAACACACATCACATGCTTTATTCGATGCCGAAAGACTAGAATCAATAAAAGGAAGCCGAGCAAGAACTGAGAAAGAAGGATGACCCATTCGTCTATGCCATAAGTCCGTGGAGACTGTTGTCACTCGAGAAGCGGCCGCAACGACAGTCCCTCGAAAGAAATACAGTCCCCCCAACTGTTCACCTGCTCCAATCACCATCCTCGTAGTGCGGTCCAGAATAGCACAAAATTTATTAGTAAAAGTGGCCACACAACCAGCCTGTTCCAACAATTGATATAGAGATATCAAGCTACACCGAAGACTAGGAACGAAAAGAACGTCATAAAGGACAATATGAGAACCGAGTTTGACTGTCCCAGCCTGACTGGCAATAGTAATCGTGCCATCAGACAATTGTACAGAATGTGGTGGGATGTCCATAGTATCATGAAAGTATTCCAGAAAACCTGTCATATGGTGCGTGGCACCGCAATCATACATCCAATCAAAGGAACTGCACTTACCAGAAAGCGTAGTATTTTGGTGAGCGGAAGTAACAAGATTGACAATAGATTCCCATTGAGCATTAGACAAACCGGAGATAGCGGTGCGGTCTGACTCACTCAAAACCGGTCTGCTTACCGAACCCGGTGCTCCAGTCGAACTAGCCGAAAAAACGTTCAGAGCATTCCCGAACACCGCGTGAGCACGTGCTTGGCTGCCCCCGCGTTTGCTACCACCGCGGCTGCCTCCTCGACCGGTCCTGCCCCCGCGCCCGCTGTTGTTGGAGCCCCACCCCTCAGGGTACCCGATCACCTCGAAGCATTTGGCCGCGATATGGCCTGTCTTCCCGCAGCTGTAGCACGTAAGATTTTTCGACGACCGACCGCCACCCGTACCACCGCGATGTACCAGCCGCAGCGAACGAAGTAGTGCCACCAGGGCTTGGTGCGGCACCCAATACACCTGCAGTGTCGGTCTTGGCAGCGAAGCTAGATACCTCGATCGGGGTGTGCTCGTGAAGAATTGTCCGCATGCGTTCCTCTCGAACCATCATAGCATAAACCCGATTGAGACTGGGCATGGATTCTAGGGCTAGCACATGTGAACGTGTCGGGCCGTACAAGGACCCGTCCAAACCCATGAGAAACTGATGGACCTTCTCGTCTTCCCTTCGTCTGTCCCACTCGGTCTGAAGGTCGCACTTGCACCCACCACAACGGCATGTCGGAGATCTTTCATAACCTGCAAGTTCGTCCCAAAGTTTCATCATCCGACCATAGTAGTTCTCGATGCTACTGCCCGCTTGTTTGCATCCGGATAAGTCGACCTTCAATTGTTGAATGCGGGGGCCGTTGACAGTAGTGTATCGCTCCCGAAGGGCCAGCCATAGATCGGGAACAAAATCAGGTTGAGAAATTGTTGATCGAACCGTCGGTTCGATACTATTCATGACCCAACAGAGCAATAAGTGGTTGTTCGCAAGCCAATCTTCATATAGATCAGTCCCCGGCTGAGGCCGAGGAATAGAACCATTGAGAAATCCGAATTTCTTTCGAGCACCAAGGGCTGTCCGCAAACTGCGAGCCCATTCCTCGTAATTTGTATCACCCTTCAATTGGACGTGAGTGATCAATAAGTCGGGATTATCGGAAGAAGAGATGTCGTAGGGGGAGATGGACCGGCAGTTGACAGTTTCTTTTTCTTGTGTTGTACTTGACGTACTAGAGTCTGCCATCCTCTTCTTTCTTTTTTTTTTTTTTTTTTTTTTTGAATTACCGCAGCAACAGAAGTTGTTGTTTTTTTTTTTTTGAATGACCGTAGAAGACAGAAGAAGGAACAGAAGAAGTTTGATTGGAACAGTTCCTCAAGGAGAGATCGAGAGAAAAATCATAAGAAAAAGGAGAGAAAAAACGGCTCTGATACCATGACAAGAGAATATTGGGAAAACCGATTCATCCACAAATCGTGATGATCGTGAATACTCATTAGCCCCAAAATATATAACCACAATTACATGAAGAATATAGAAGCTACCTAATCACAAGATTCTAATTATTCCTAGAATATATCCTCTAATAATATACAAGATATGGACATAAATATACATGGTAACATATATAAAATGAATTTATATATTTTGATCATCTTCGTTTGCATGTGAATCGAACCAAAAATAACATAGTATAGGCACAGGAAATGATTGAGTGCAATATTTACCTTGTGGAAGGTACTGTTCTTGTTATCATGACAAACAAAGACGACATTATGTTTTACTATATTTATTGGAAGAATTACTTAATAATTTGGAGTATACACTGGACAAAGACACAAAACAAACACCATATCCCAAATAAAAGTTGCTTCAGGTATGTCAATTTCACATTTATACACATTATGATCAACTTAACCATTAATTAAATATTGAAAATATAACCTTGGAATATATTAGACTCATTGGTTGTTTTGCTTGTTATATTGAATACTTGTTCCGTTGCACTCCTATTAGAATCTGAAAAAACAAACATGTGTTAGAACTTATAAACAAAAATATAGATGTTATATAAAACTTCTTTAATGTGCACAAACGTATTCTGTCCTTATTGGCTTTTAAATTCAAAATATAAATATACAGTGCTTGGGTATGATGCATGGAAAGATCTATTGAAAATACGAATAGCTTTAAGCTTCTAAGATTGAATCTCATATTAATATTGAGCTGTCTGACAAAGCCTGACCAAGCCTGAATGCTCCATAACAATATTTTTTTTTTTTGTTCAGGGATAAATGTGGAGACGAATTTTGGACAAGGATGTGAGGGTTGATTGGCGTAAAACATGTTGTGGCTTATTTATAGTGATAATATGAATGAAAAGTATACAGGAAACTAATCTTTTATTATACAAAATTATCAAATGTTTTTCCAATTCAACGAATTCATTACATGTTTTGTAATATCCCGACTCTTTTTATCAGTATAATAATATTTTAGTTCCGATATTATTTTTCGGAATTAATTAATTTCAGTTATTTCAGTCAAAATTACCGGAACTATTTTCGACGTACCGTTGGCGTTCGGAATAATTTTGGTAATTAAGCATTATGTTTAATTTTAAATTAAACATGATGAGATGATTAATTAACATATTAATCAAGCTTAAGGTATATATATATATGTATTGTGTTCGGATTTTTCCCAATTTCTCATGTTATTGCCGTGCGTGCTTATGTGCTAAGTGTTAGTATTATTTTGGTCCATTTCATGTACTTAGTGCCGTGCATTGCATTCTATAGCCGTGAGGAACTCATCAATTTTCCTCCACAATGCCGTGAGCTTCTCATTTATGTGTTATGTGTGAGTGTTTGTCTTGAAGTCAAGATTCTCCCAACATTTTTCATGGGGACCGTGCATGTCATTTGGCCTTTTATGTGTGAATATGTCCAAGTTTCCCCCACCAAGTCATGAAGGTCGTGCCTTTTGTTGTGTAGCTTGGCACATGCACGTGAGCTTTGAGAGAGATTCCTCCCTTTTTTTTCCTCATTTGCCGTGTGAAGGTGTTGGAATGTAGTGCATGGGTGCAATTTCCTTCTCTTTGTCCTCTAGCCGTGCGTGACTATTGAGGCAAGACCTCATGCATGCTATTTTGGAATTTAGGGTGTTGTGTCCAAAATTTGAGGGCATGTGAGACAAGTGTCTCAAGCTTTTGACCATGTATTTTTCCCCCTCTTCCCACCATGTGCTTTCGGTTTTATAAGTTGACCTTGGGGGAAAGATGTTTCATTTTTACTCCGCCCATATTTCATAGTGCCGAGAGAGTGTAGTGAGTGTGGAGTGTTAGTACCGCACGCCGCAAGCCACCCGCACGGAAGTCCGAGAAGCACGCACGCATCGCACACCATCGCACGGCATCGCACGGGAGTTTGAGAGTTAGTCCCTAGGGCTTGCAAGAGGTAAGTTCCCTTCGAATATTGACCGAGAGTAGCATGTTCCTTAAGTTAATTTATGTTGAATTGACATGCATGCGTGTTTAGCCATAGCCGTGCCATTCATCATATATTTTAAGTTATTAATCCGAAACATGTTAGGATTTTCATCGAATTCTCCGAACAATCTTGCATGCTTAATTTTTATGTGCAATATCATGTTTAAATTAGCCTTAACGTTCGGATGATATCTCACGTTTGAAGTGTTCGGCCGAGGGTAACGTGGTTGCGCACGTAGCGCACCACGGGCCGTGCATACTTGCTCGTATATGTTATGTTAGTTGCCTTCGACCATTATGTATTTGCATGTTCAGTAAATCATGTTTAAGTTCATTTAAATTCAAATTGCCGAGAGATAATATGGTTCGGTCGAAGAACGGCACAACGCCGTCGGCGGTGCACGGCGTGCCGCCACGGCCTTAGTTCAAGCCTTCATGTGAATTTTCATGTTTTCAGCAATTATGTGTTTATATGTTCATGTCATG